CCACTCAAGTTCATATAATGACTTAATCGTCGGAGAAATAACCGGAGAACCCAACTTCGGCCTCTCACAAGTTCTTTGTGTGCAGTAAAGAACAACAGGCTCCCATATCAGCCATCTAAAGAAGCTTGAGGACCTCAACCCAACACAAATCTTTAAATAAACTTCCTATTAGATAACTGACATCAACACATCCCAAATTCAATGTTCATTAGAGATCTAAATAAGTTTAAGCTTTTTAAAAATCGTTGAGTTTATCTATCTCTAAGAGATCCAAACACCACACGTTTTTATCGTCAAATAGTATCTTTATATTCCTATCTGGTCTCCATCTATTTATATTCCTATCTGGTCTCCATCAAGTTAAAAATAGAACTTGCTAAATTCTACATAATGTACTATTATCTTTGCTTTACTCACACTATTTTTGCAACATCATAAATGGATTTTTAGCATAAAAACCTAAAGTTCACCCCCATTTATTTTTTACACCCACCTCCAAAAAGTTTTTTTGCATATGCACCTAAAGTTCACACCCATTTATCTTTAAATATATGCATTTTAAAAACTATTCTTAGAAACATAATACTCAAGTGAATTCTTTTTTAAATCTACTTTTATTTAACAATTTGAGTTTTGTTATAAGTTGATATATTTTTGTTCTAAGTTGTTAGACATCTGTTTTTTAACCAAATATATTTTGTTCAAAAATTTCGATAGTTTTCACGTTAATGCCGCTACAAGGAGCAGGTGTCAATTTTGCTGCTTGTTTTGACATTATATCCACTCGCTGCAATTTTAACGGTTTCGAATGAATAAAAATTTTTGCACGGCTCAACGAATGGTCAAAACATAATGGGTTCACCCAAAAATTGGTGTGTTTGGGTTTAAGAACGTGTAGATCAAGTTCAACGGAGCGGATTGTAAAAAAAAAAAGGAAATGATGTGATTTTAGACCGCGTCATTAGGTGGGAGCCTAGGGTATTGCACGGCTCAACGAATGGTCAAAACATAATGGGTTCACCCAAAAATTGGTGTGTTTGGGTTTAAGAACGTGTAGATCAAGTTCAACGGAGCGGATTGTAAAAAAAAAAAGGAAATGATGTGATTTTAGACCGCGTCATTAGGTGGGAGCCTACGGTGTCACC